GATCCGTCACAAACAGCGCGCTGTCATCCGGGCTGATGGCGAGGCCGAAGAACCCGCCGCCTTCGCAGGTTGTCACGGTGCGCACGCGCCCGGCCGACGAGACGTGCAGCACCGAGCGCCAAGTCGCGACGTACCAGCCGCCCGCGTGATCGCTTGCGACGCCGCGCAGATCGAGGGACGCCAGAGGTCCGTCCTCGCCCTCGAGCGCGAGCGTGGTGACCTGGCCGACGGTGCGCGCGCCAAAGATGGGCGCCTCGAAGCCGGCAGCGACCGCCACGGGCTCGCCCTCCTCCTCGCCGCCGCTGGTGCGGCCGCGCTTGCGGGAGGGCGATCGCCTGATTTCTTTTCCTGCTATTCGGCCTTCCAAGCGCCAAGCCTGCGGCGGGCGCGCTGCAGCCGCACGTCTACCTTCGTCATAGTGCCACGACGTGCGGCCTAGAATTAGCACACGTGCCTCTGTTCGCTAACACTCACACATTGAATTGTCACCGCCAGTGAGTGCGAGATAGGGCTGGCCGCTGGCGGCTAGCCCGTGAGGAGGGCGACCATAGACACCTCACTAACCCCACACACGGTCTCGTCCGTGCCTCGCCGGCCGGCGAGATTGCTAGAGGTGGAGCAAGCCTGCTCTAGCCTCGCATATTACCTCCTGTCGTCTGTTGTGATGTTGTGCCCTTGTTTGTTTCTCTTGGCACCTTGGAGTGCTGGGGGGGGCGACAGGAGGAATGTGGCCCTGAGTTATGTGTACGCCAACTCAGGGTGTGTGGCAGCCAGCTGGCTGTGTGTCTTGTGAGCTTGTTTGTGTCTGTGTGTCGCTCGTGCGTGTCGTCATCATCTGTCTTGCGTCCACCCATACCGCGTTGGTGTCCAGTCCGAGCCTGGCTGTTCTTCACCTTTCTACCTACCTACCTAAGTGCTTCTTTTTTCTTGGGGAAGGTTACAATCCCTCTCGCCGTAGCAGTGCTGTTAGCGCTTTGACCCAAATCGGCCGAACTTTTAGGATGCCCTCAGACTATGAGCACATGCCAATTGTCAGCTCGTCACAGACTCACACAAGTCACAACAAAACAACGTCAACGACGAAGCTCGAAGGAAGCCAATATGCACTGTGTACATGGCGCTCCGCACCACGAGTGGCTGCGCACTACGAGTGGCTGCGCACTACGAGTGGCTGCGCAGCGCCCCCTTCTGCAGCTCCGCCACCTGGTCGAGCGCGTCGCCGAGCAGCCCCTTGGCCACGCCGAGGTCGCGCAGCTGCTCCACGCCGCCGCTCGCGCGCACCTCGGCGGCGTGGTCGGCCACGAAGCGGCGGCACTGCGCGAGGAGCCGCCCGTCGCCCGTCGTGTGCGCCGCCTCGAGCAGCGGCACGGCGGTCGCCGGCCCGACGCTCTCCTGCAGCGCCTGCGCGCAGAGCAGCTCGAGGCGCGGCACCTGGTACTTATGCGCCAGCTGCCGCAGCACGAGCGCTCGCCGCGCCTGCTCGCCCTCCTCCTCGCCGAGGTCGAGCTGGTCGGTGAGGAGGTAGCGGACGAGGGCGGTGAAGCTGGCGAGGTCCGTCTCGAGCACCGTGACCTCGGCGGCGTCGCGCTCCTTCATGCCGATGCCAAACATGGTCCGAAAGAACACGGACCGAACGCAGAGGGCGGCCTTTGTGACGTGCTCGACGCGCTCCTCGTCGTCGCCGACCAGGAAGGTGACTTTGCCCTCGGGGAGGGTGGCGTCGCCCCACATCTTGCCCATGTCGGCGGAAAAGGTGGAGGGCGGAACCACGAGCGGCGCGAAGGAGGGAGGCGGAGGAGGCGCCGCCACGCAGACCTGGCGGAGAGCCGAGCCCTCCACGCGGACCAAAAGCGTTGTGCCGTCGGCGCTGATGGAAAGGGCCATTGGGTATCGGAACTGCGCCGCGTCGCCTACGCCATCGACGCTGCCCTCGGCGCCGCTGCCTGCGAGCGTAGTCACAGCACCCGTCGCCACCTCCACCCGCCGGATCTTGTGGTTGTCGCAGTCCGCCACGAACAGCGCGCTGCCGTCTGGGCTGACGGCGAAGTCTTGAGGCAAGTTGAACTGCGCCGCGCCGCCCACACCATCAACGCTGCCACTGGCACCGCTGCCCGCAATCGTCGTCACCGCGCCCGTCGCCACCTCCACCCGACGGATCTTGTGGTTGGCGGGGTCCGCCACAAACAGCGCGCTCCCGTCCGGGCTGATGGCAAGGCCCGTTGGGTAGTAGAACTGCGCCGCGCCGCCCACGCCATCAGCGCTGCCGCTGGCACCGCTGCCCGCGAGCGTAGTGACTGCGCCAGTCGCCACCTCCACCCGCCGGATCTTGTGGTTGTCGCAGTCCGCCACGAACAGCGCGCTCCCGTCCGGGCTGATTGCGAGGTCGGCTGGGGCGTTGAACTGCGCCGCATCGCCGACGCCGTCTGCATCGCCATCCTCGCCGCTGCCCGCAGGCGTCGTCACAGCATCCGTCGCCACCTCCACTCGACGGATCTTGTGGCTGTCGGCATCCGTCACAAACAGCGCGCTGTCATCCGGGCTGATGGCGAGGCCGAAGAACCCGCCGCCTTCGCAGGTTGTCACGGTGCGCACGCGCCCGGCCGACGAGACGTGCAGCACCGAGCGCCAAGTCGCGACGTACCAGCCGCCCGCGTGATCGCTTGCGACGCCGCGCAGATCGAGGGACGCCAGAGGTCCGTCCTCGCCCTCGAGCGCGAGCGTGGTGACCTGGCCGACGGTGCGCGCGCCAAAGATGGGCGCCTCGAAGCCGGCAGCGACCGCCACGGGCTCGCCCTCCTCCTCGCCGCCGCTGGTGCGGCCGCGCTTGCGGGAGGGCGACGCCATCGCCTGATTTCTTTTCCTGCTATTCGGCCTTCCAAGCGCCAAGCCTGCGGCGGGCGCGCTGCAGCCGCACGTCTACCTTCGTCATAGTGCCACGACGTGCGGCCTAGAATTAGCACACGTGCCTCTGTTCGCTAACACTCACACATTGAATTGTCACCGCCAGTGAGTGCGAGATAGGGCTGGCCGCTGGCGGCTAGCCCGTGAGGAGGGCGACCATAGACACCTCACTAACCCCACACACGGTCTCGTCCGTGCCTCGCCGGCCGGCGAGATTGCTAGAGGTGGAGCAAGCCTGCTCTAGCCTCGCATATTACCTCCTGTCGTCTGTTGTGATGTTGTGCCCTTGTTTGTTTCTCTTGGCACCTTGGAGTGCTGGGGGGGGCGACAGGAGGAATGTGGCCCTGAGTTATGTGTACGCCAACTCAGGGTGTGTGGCAGCCAGCTGGCTGTGTGTCTTGTGAGCTTGTTTGTGTCTGTGTGTCGCTCGTGCGTGTCGTCATCATCTGTCTTGCGTCCACCCATACCGCGTTGGTGTCCAGTC